TGTGCAGAGCTGAGGCGCTTCGGTGGTCCATTAATCAGAAAATAAATCGTTAACAACTTTGATCATTTAGTGTCTAAACAACTGATAAAGTAAACCTGCCAAACATTGTCTGGTTCCAGCTGCTTTTCACTGCTGTGAATGGACTTCAGGGAAGAAGGAGACATCTTGTGTCAAACTTTTTTTTAAATGAAGCATATTTCTATATTAATTGTATTTCCCAATGAAGAGGGAAGAGCAGATGTAATTTAAAGATTTTTTAACAACAAAAAACACTGTTTTCCAACTTTTTTTATGGCTTAAAGGGACAGTTCACCCCAAAATCAAAAACACATATTTTTCCTCTTACCTGTAGTGCTGTTTATCAGTCTAGATTGTTTTGGTGTGAGTTGCCGAGTGTTGGCGATATCATCTCTCGAATGTACTGGAACTAGATGGCACTCGACTTGTGGTGCTCGAAGTGCCAACAAAAAATATTTGAAACACTCAACAGCAATGTCTCTTTCCAGAAATCATGACCCGGTTACTCAAGATAATCCACAGACTTTGTTGTGAGCAGTTTCATGTCAGAACTATTTTCTACCAAACTACCAAACTACACCCACCAACGGTATCACCACAGAAGGAAGTGTTTGCCTACTCATGTGGCTCATCACAATATCCCTCCTCAAGTGCTCTATCCTCTATCCTTGATCACTTGATTGGGAAATTGATTGACACCTGCCATCTGGAAAGACATCTTAATTCACTAAATGCACTCTAAGGAGTCGAGGAGTCAAGGAGAGAGGAGACTTTTGGAGGGATATATGAGTGCAGCCTTCGAGCAAGCTTTTACTGACCGATACACCCCCCCAAATGGATATCAGTTATTGACTGGATAGTGCAGCACTGCAGCTGATGAAGCCCTCTGACAACTGATCCACCTGCCGCCATCATCAGAAACGGACATTGGAAAAGAAGTCTCATTCCTCTAAAGGCATACTTCCTTGGTTCATCTCTCCTCGCATCTCATCCTTGCATCTGTCCTCTGTGTCTTGCAAGGGTGGAGCTAAGACGTGAGGAAAAGAGGCTCATGACAGCACAGGATGTAAACATTAACAGCATCCTCCTCAGCTGAGCTGTAATGCTAGCTAGCTCATCAGTGCTAGGTGAGCTAGCAGTAGATGCATGCTTCCTTCTGCACAGTGATACAGTTGGTGGGTGTAGTTTGGTAGAAAGAAAGTAGTTCCTACGTGAAACTGCTCACAACAAGATCTGTGGATTATCTTAAATAAGTGGGTCATGATTTCTGGAAAGAGACATTACTGTTGAGTTTATCAAATGTTTAGATATTCATTTATTTATTGATGCTTTGAGCAGCAGCCAAGTAGCATCTAGGTCCATTATATTCGAGAGAAGGCAGACCTCTCAACACATCTCCAACACACTAAAGCAAACTAGATTGTTTAGTAGCACCACAGGTAAGAGGAAAAATATGTTTCTGATTTGAGGGTGAACTGTCCCTTTAAAACAAGTTCTCAATCAATAATAGATATAATCATGAATTGAATCGTCTCTGTAGTAGCTGATAAAAAAAAATGCTTCTTAACATTTCTCTCGGCACAAGAAGGCCACTTGTTCCACTTAAAACCAAAACTTTGAATGTGTTGTCAAAAAGCCAGCGATGTAGAAGAGGATTTTATTTTCTCTGTGAAGCCTGAGAGGGGACTGACACTCTGTCGGCACAGCTGAATGACAAACAAACAAATGTGCAGGGAAAATGAAGGAACGAGGGTTGACACAAACAAAACTCCCACACTGCTGGTGGGTCAAGACCGGACGGGAAACAGAATATTATGAGAGAATGAGAGGAGGACCTGCTGTTATTTCTATTTAGTATAGGACAGATGTTTATCTCACTGTTTATATGTGGGCAAGCCTGACAGATTTAATATTTATATGTATAATTTGGCTTGCCCACTGGGCTTGCTCTCTTTGTTGATCACATCAGGTCTGTCTCTTCTTCTAGTTAGGCTTAGGATAAGCACTGAAAGAGTCAAAAACAGCATGTGTGTGTGTGTGTGTGTGTGTGTGTGTGTGTGCAAAGAGTACACCCTCTATCCTCAGAGGCTGGCTCACACTTCACTGTCATCTTCGCAACCAAACTACCAACAGCTGGAGAGAACAAGCTGATAGTTCTGTGTCATATAGGGTGTCAGTCCTAAAGCTTGGTTGAATTGAAGGAAAGGGGTCAAGTTAAAAGGATTTCATGTGGTGTTCACAGCATCAAAAAATTACATGTATCAAAATCAGCAGCAAGGTGTCTTTGGAGAAACAGTGTCCCAGTTACTACAGATTATCCGCTGACAGTTTTCATTGGATCTACTTTCTACTGAGGAAATAAAAACTGTTGGCAGAGAGCTCTGTGGATTATCCAGAGAAATGGGGACACTTAAAAAAAGATGTTGATGTTTTTAAATGTAATTTTCCAACGCTGTTAGCACCACAAACATAATTTCATTCCCCTTCGCTGTGTTTCAGTGCAGACAGAAATGTCAGAGATGGATTTATTAAAACCCGCTTAAATAAAACCAAAGTATCTGTACTGCCCGACACCACAAAGGCAGGTGAAAGAATGTGTTTGTGCTCAATTCCATTTCAGTCAAAGGATGTGACCCCTCCAATGGATCAAAGATGTGATGCAGAACATCAAGCTGGAATAGCGGCTCCATTACCGATTTCAATAAGGTCCCATTTATAAACTATGTTAATAGTCTACCTGATCTGGAACTATGAACTCATACCTCTACATGTTGTCTGTCCTATCTGTGCTTAAATACACTATGATGCAAAAGGTTTTTGTTTTTGTGATCTGTGTGTTTTGGACATTGTTGATTATCCATATACTACTGGTACCCTGAAATAATAGTTATTGTCTTGTTTATTAAAGGAATAATATGTAAAATTAAGGGGGATTTAGCATCATCTAGCTATGAGGATTTCAGATTGCAATTGGCTGAAACTTTTACCGGTTTGAATTTTTCAGTGGTCATTGTTAAGGAGGTTTTTACCAGGAGCTGAATTGTCCACGAAGGTCTCATCCTCTCCAAAACAAACGGACCAGGGGTCTCATTTATAAACATTGCTGAAAGAGGTGTACGCCACCTCCCACGGAAAAAATGCAATCTATAAAAACAGACTTGATGGGAGAAACTTATGATTACGAACATTTTGGAGACAGGAATTTGGTGACAATGATGGTGAGGTAGAAGCCTGATTGTAGAAATATTTTTTGGCACACAACATTTTTGTCTTTTGTCCATATGTACTTTTTTAGTATGGACCCTACGCACTATTTTATAAATGAGACCCCAGGTGATTAAACCAGTAATAACACTGAATAAATCAGTTTCACGTTACAAATGAGGGTTTCTCCTATGCTGTTAAACTCATGGCAGATGGTCCACTCACCCAGCACCTGCTAATGTGTGCTTGCATTTCTTCTCTGATAACTTAAGATCCAGACATTTAGGAGGTTTTCACTGGGAGCTGAGCTATCCACACAATGGACCCAGTGATTTAAACTGGTAAAGCATCCTTGCGTGAAAAAACAAATTTGTGATATTGTGATGCTGCTCGTCGTGGAGGGGCTGCCCACTACAATGGCTGGTGCAAAAACTTGACAAATGCAAATGGCCTTCAGTAGCCAGTGTTTGGTTTGTCTGTTCTGGGCTACTGTAGAAACATGGTGGACTCCGTGGACGAGCACCAGCTCCCTTTGTACATACAGAAGGCTCATTCAAAGATAATAAAAAACATGATGGTTCTTTTTTTCGGGTGATTATACACAAAAGAAAACATACTTATTATATTACATTCCATTTCTGTGTTGTAATTTAGGTTAACCGACCCTTTCAGATGAAGTCACGTCTACATATAACCCGCTGGTATTTTGTCTGCTTCCAGTGTGAGAAAGAGTTTGCACACTTCCACCCTCCAATGCAACTTTGATGTTTTGAACACTGTGTGGAGAGTATTCAGGCCAAATCTAAAGCTTCAAAGTGTGTCACGGGTGGCCCGGGGGCCTCCACAGATCTAATGTGGTTGTGTGAAATAAAATCAACATAGTAGGGTCACTGTTTGATGTACTGGAAATGGCAGAGAATCTAAACAGACTCAGGCTGCAGCATAATGCAGCATTGGCATCATTACGATCCCTCAACTTTAAAAACTTCAGTGCAGTTTTTTTTTGTTTCCTGCTCCTGTGCTGCAACAGCTGCATAACTTATAAGTTGTGTGTGATTTCAGCAGCATTATAAAGTAAGAGCATAATGAACAGCATGAGCAGCTTCACTCCCCTGCGGCTCAGTTATGTCTGGATGATAATAATGCTGTGGCAGCGCTATCTGCTGCCCCCTGCGGGCTCGCAGCGGTACCGGCCATGTAACGGAAGAACACCCCCTCTAATCTCTTTACTGCAGACAGCAGCCGTGTGCGCGCGCATGCACAGTCACAAGCATGCACACACGCACACACAGGCTAAATATGGCGGTAAATAAGATTGTAGACGCATTTACTTTTGGTACAAAACAAACAGAAATAGCACTGCATGTGTTGGTGCAGAGGATCTGAGGTTTTGTGTCCTGGGATTGAAGTAAGAACATTAAATACTCATTTATTCCTCAAGATGATTTAAAAAACACATTTTTTGCAATTAAATCAATAGTGCAGAATATTTTATTGAAAGCATATAAAATAAAAAAATAATATTAAAAGATAAAAAATAGAAATAACTCGATTATAATATTTTATTCAAGTGCGATTTAGCTGTGTTTTTTATTTAATTATTAAACGCAAATGTTGCTGAAACATAGGACAAACCGAGGCTGTGACTATAGCATGATGGTCAGGCTCACACATGCGTCTTTACGCACGCCACCGAACGCCCACTCCGGTGATGTGTTAAGGCGGATTGGCTGCTAAAGATACCAGCGCCTGCGTGCGCTCCGTGGTTGGCTGCGGCTCTCTTGGCCATTACGTTATGCTTACTCCACACACACAGGCAGCTAGAGAGAGGGAAGACGTAATGGTTTGATTCCCTGTGCACTTGCAATGGTCGTCGTTCTGACATTACTCGGCAGATTCCTCAAACGGGAGGTGCAATGAAGGTACGTGATGCAACTGCGGTCCGTGTGCGATGGGGATTCACTTCCGATGCAGATTTCGTGTGATTTACGCACGATGTTGCACCAAGAGGCAGGGGATACCTCCATCCTAATGTCAATTAAATATGTTTACGTGCACTCAGCTGTAATTACATCAACAGGCTTGCGTTTTAATGCAGCATTCACTGTTAACCGGACGCCAGATATTATAACGCTGCTGCCCTTTCAGCTCGGTCAGCCTGATTTTTATTTTCCCGGCGAGCTCACCAGCCTGGGAATGCTTTTCCTGTCGTCCTGATAAACAGTAGGTACAGTGTGCAGGCTTTTTAATGAGCCCGCTTTGACCCCAGTGTGATAGTTCAGTGGACTAAAGCCGCTGGAGCGACGTCCATTCATCGTCAGGCTTTTAATCCAGTCTAATGAGATAGAGGCTGCGGTCAGAGAGTGAGGGAGTGCGGGGATGTTTGGGAGACGTCTCGGTGTGCAGAGAGATTCACCTCTCAGGTCCGAGCTGTGTCAGGAGTCTCCTTCCTCTTCCTTCGTGTGTGTGTGTGTGTGTGTGTGCTGTGTAGCAGAGGCAGGCTGCAGCAACACACAGGGAGGAAAAGGTGATGATGCTGTCTGGCAGCTCGAGCTCAGGACGGATAACGATGAGGATGATGGCGATGATGTCATTGGTGCTCTGGTGGCGGCAGGTTTGTGGTGACAGTCACGGTGAGTGGTGAGGTGCAGGCAGGACTGCCGCTACAACCATCATCATCATCACCATCATCACCATCATCATTAGAACTGTGTACACATAATGAAGAACAGGCTAATCACTTGTTGTTGCAGCCACACTGAAGCTGATTGGATGCTTCTTATTTAAAGCTGACTACATGCACCAGTGAGGACTCTACAAGGTGGATGTCCTCATTTTGCAAATAAAAACCTCTCTTATTGCTAGAGTTGCAAAGTAACTAAGTACATTTACTTCCAAATATTTTAGCTAAAGCACTGTTTTGAATTACAGGTGTACTGTTTCACAGTGAAATACTGTGATTCGTGTGCCGAATGGGTTTCCCCAAGCAGCTGCTGCAAGCTAAAAAGCCGGCTTCTCAGCTCTGGCTGCTCAGGTATATTTATATCTAAATGTCATAACATTTCTAGAGTTAAGGGTAGGGATGGGAATTGATAAAAACAAATTAAGTGATACCAGTGTCATTATAGATTCTGATTATCAGTACGATTCTTTGTTGATTTCCTTGTTGATTCCTGATCAGTTTTCTGTATGGTCTGTTCAGCATCAATGCAACTGCTTTATTGTCTCAACATAGTGATGAAACAGTAGAAAAAATATATACATGTGACTCAGGTGTGCAACATCTGCATGGCACTAATGTTATCATAACATGTTTACCCTATGTGATGGACGTGCTGATTACATGGGAAGAAGTGACACCAGTGTGTGTGAGTGTCAACATCATGGCATTCCTGGACTTTAATCTATGTTGCATAGATCGATGTCTCAGCATATTGTTGGTGTTTGCATCTGTACTTGAAATGATCATTTTACAGACCTTACAAGCAGCACTGTAGTCATCCTTCACAAAATGAAGGCACACTTTGGACTGTTTCTTCCTCTCCGCCATGACACATTCTCGTTGAAAGTTTCCAGCAGCGTAGGGGTGATAGTATTGTGATATTTTTTGTGGCAATCTCGTATCGTCCCACAGTGTCAAGTATCGATTTTTTATTTATATGAACTATTAATATTACAGATACAAAAACAAAGTGGCTGAAGTGAGATGAACAGACTGAAACTTTATTAGATTAAACAGATGTTGGCAAAGTTTTCCTTTGGGGACATCAGTTACAGTTGGAAAAAGTAATATATCACAATACTCAGCATATAACAACATATTAGAAATTGGAATGATATTGTGTTGTGACTTAGGTTTTGTGATAATATTGTATCATGGATCCTCTGGTGATTCCCAAAAACATAAAAAACAGTGAGTCTGACGTCATTGTTTTGCTACATGCAGCTATCAGAAAACACCAGTGTTGTTTGGAAGATGTGTTTCCCCTCCACCTTAACCTGACCAAAAACCCTTAGTCCTAACCCTAACCACTACGCAGTAACGGGGGAAACACTATTTGAGGCAGGGAAGCATATTTTGATACAACATTGGCATTGATGAAAAGATCAGACAGTTTGGAACTGCTTCTCAACTGTACCAGTTGTCAATTCCCATTCCTGAGTTAGGGAAAGATACATTTACAGGCCTGAGAAAGCTATGTCGGCCTTTAATTTTGTTCAAATAAGCTATTCCCTTTTCAAATACACCATATGTTTTGGAGTAATGCCACCCTTCTGTGTAGATTTGCAACAATTGATCAATTAGTCGTCAACTGTTACAGTAATGGCTAACCAATTTGATCATCGATTAATCGGTTTGAGTACATTTTTAAAGGAAAAAAGATTTCCGCACACTTACATCTATGCAGTGTTTCACTTTATTGCTAAGCTTTCGGTCTATTCAACCTTCATCAGAGCATGCATGAGACAACAATGGATAGGCTGGTAAAAATAACCAATGTCAGTCTAATCACTGGCTGTATGCAATACACCTGTGTGCAACCCTGGTGGTAGGAGAAGTCAAAATTCTCTGATTCCATCTTCTTAAACGTGAATATTTTCTGGTTTCGTTACTCGTCTGTGACAGTAAACTGAATCTATTTGGGCTGTGGACAAAGCAAAGCAATTTGAGGACATCATCTTGGGCCTTGGGAAACACTGATCAACATTTTTCTCCATTTTCTGACATTTAATAGACCAAACAACGACTCAGTTAATCAAGAAAATAAATGAGAGAAAAATCAAGAATGAAAGTAATCATTAGTTGCTGCCTCTGTGTGGATTTTAATTCGCTGTTGGGCATTTCAGGACAAAGAATAATTAGTATTCTTGTCCAAAAAGTAGGATTCCAGAAGTCTCAAATTAATGCAGACATCAATGGAAAAAAACAAAGGCACTGTTTTTAGGTGAAATAATCTCATATGCTTGTTCTGGAGCATAGGCAATCCAACAGATCAGTGATTCTAGGTCTGTATCACGGTCTGAGAAACTCTTATCAAACTAATATATATAATTTAATCTAATGTGTGTTGGTCTGTGATATTGCCTATGGTCAGGGAGTAAATATGTCCACATAATACCTGTCCAAACAGCCATCAGAGCCAAGTAGTGCTTGTTTCCTCCATTATAACCCATTTAGTCTTCTCACATTCATAAACACATATTTAAAGTTTGCATATTTCTTCTTCAAAACTAGAGAAACTATGCCTGGCTACTCTATTTGCAGAACTCCCTCCACAACACTGCATAGAAAAATATTTTATATAATATTAAACTATTTCTAGAATGGGGTTGTACATGTAAAACCTACAGGGAGCTCATTAAATATGGTGCAGAGAAGAGAATAAACATGCCAGCGGTGTATGAAGCCTTTACAGTCTCTACAATGTGTTGTCAGTTCGGGCTGTGATCACATAAGACTTATTATCTGATGCTCAAACTCAATGAAAAGTAGCTTCAATCACAACAATGCAACAATGAAGTAAGACTGACACATTCTTCACAATGAATATTTCACTAAAGTATGTTTTCTGCAGTCATTTCAATACTTTTGTACAAGTTTAAATGCAGTAGGACTAAAGTTTGAATGCTGTTTGACATTATTGTGGAGGACAAGAGCACAGAGGTGCTTAACTCCTGGTGGACAGTGAAGCATCGCTCCCTGTGTCCCAGGGAAACAAAATGGACGTGATGTTTTGTTGACTAATCTGGTTTAAATTGAAAAGCAGCTTTTCTGCCCCTGTGGAATGGACAGTGTTAGCCGAATTGTGTAAGCATACTTCTCAAATCGGGGAAAGACCGCTGCACAGTACAAGTTATCGATGCCATTTTAATCAGGGATGGACCCATGACTTGGTCTGTGACATACACTTTCTATTCAAAATCCTCTTATCGTTTCATTTTCAATCCATCGTGGATGCAAATACAAATCTCTCATGAAATTATAAGATGTAGCACTGATGTCGCAGTGGATCGTGATTATTTCAAATGAGACTGGACGCACTCATGACTCACTCTTCTAAAGTAGGTGAAGAAGTCTGAAGCTATAAAGAGAGTCCAGAGGGCACGGCAGATTTCTGTAAAATAGTCCAGTCATGTTTTGTTATTGCAGGACGATCTCCGCAGCAGTCTTTATCTGTTTGTATTTCTGCACCAGAAGTGTTCTTCAGGCTAAATCCTCCTCTGCCTTTGGAGTAAACTGTATAAATCTGTCATTTTGCAGACACAAATCCAAACTTAGCTGGTAGCAGCTTGAGTTTTCCGTGCGTGTCTCTCCAGACTATTTGAGTAATGCCTCATTTAGATGAAATATCACCGTTGTCCTCGTCGTTTTTAGACAAATAACGAAAGACGATAATGAATTAGTTTATTTTTCAGTGGCGACATTACTCTCTGGTGTCAGCAGTGAGGCAGCTGAGCTCACTTTTCACAGTAGGAGTGACATTTGCAGTTGATGCCAGAGAAAAAAAGGGAGGGAAAGATTAAACGAAGAGAAAGAGGAAATGAAATACGATAGAGAGACAGTGGATGATGGATGGATCGTCAGTGATGACCCTCTCTACAAACTGTTTCACAGTGCATGGGTGATTACACTGAAAACCATCGTAATGCTGTCTGTTTGGTATATCTGTATACTGATGCTTGCAAATGCATGTGCTAGGAACAGACAATATGAAGATAAATACCATGAGCTGATCTGAGATTTGGTCGTACCATTCATACAGATGGAGCTATCCACTTATAATCTCCAACAGAACACAGTGGAGCCTGTTGCAAATCAGTGAGCTGGACCGCTTCACAGCAATAATGAATTTACAGGAATTTTGCATCAATTTGATGAAGTACTTTAATTTTTCAGGTGTGATTTACTAAAAACATTCCC